AGTAAGCTAATTTGCATTGCATGTGCCATGCACCACCTCCACCAAAAAAAAGAAAAGAAAAGAAAAACCTGAAATGATGTTGTGCACAGCATTGTGTATATGTATGGCTGTGTGTGTGTGTGTTTTACATACATCTTTTGTTATCGGTGTTAGAAAATTAATGTAAGCAGCTGGAATGACAAAAAACAGGGGGTTGACATCCATACATACCTCTCCAGAAGCAGTATTGAATTCCTTCTGTTGATAGACCTGATATGAAAACATAATAGGTGTATTGTCATTTTTTGAATTTTTATGATGAATAAAGATTCACATATTTACCTTTAAATATCGTTGGGATGGAGGTTCCAAAATACACTGTTCGTCTTGGCAGATTCCATATCCAAGCTCTAGGAACATCAATCGGGTGAAGGCTAGATTCATGATCGGCAAACACCTGCACATGATTAGCTTTTCAATTTTGTTGTACTGCCTAATTCCAGAGAAGTGACTTCGTAATGTTGAATAAATAGTGTGGTGAAGCTAAAATATAGACAGTAGATATTTATGTTACATGTAAATCACTCATGCATACAGGTGTATGCAACACAAGACACAACATAAACTCCTAGTACAAGACTAGAACTCATCCCACGCACAACACTTCATCTCTGAGAAACAATACCCACTAACGGATTGTTACACTGAGCACCAACTAGAAGATCTCACACCACTGACCACACACCTTCACTGTGCAGTCTCTCAGTTGCACACTTCATTTTATGCACAAAAGAGAATACCAAGTTAAAACTAGTGTCCGTGGGTTCCTCAACAACTTAGGAAGACATGGGAAGCTTTTTTAACACACCATTACTTAAAAGCCACATTTTCAATAGGAAATTTCCAGAGAGGGGAGAGAGAGGGACTTAGAGGGGAGATAAGAGAAGGATCTAGAAGGAGAAGACAGTTGTGGTTGACTGTCAACACATAATGCGTAAAGAATTCTAGTGATTTGAGAGTTGGGCTAACTATTACCTCATTAACTTGAAAGTATGTACCATTAAGTGGAAAGCTCCCTCTCATTGCTGTTCGACATGGTATCTGTTCATGGTGGTTGTACAAGATAAAGTCAGATATATGTATTTTTCATTTCCCGTCAGACTTGTATAGCCATTATGGTAATGCGTATATGGATATCCTCACCAAGAGTGTCCCTCGAACAGTTTGCAAGTTCGTTTCTCGTATATTGTTGCATGAAAAACATGTTTTCTCATCACATAATTTGCCTGATTCTTGGAAGCTGCACCATGTTTCTGGTGGCTGAACTGAATTTGCAGTTTCACCTGATATGGAGCGTTTGTTAGAATCAATTGCCAAACGCAGCTAAAATAAATCTGTCAGCTAATTTTGCCATTGCCTGTCTTTTACTGATGTATTCTCTTTGTATATTAATATGAAATAGGTTTGATGACATGTCCATTTACCTGGTGTCCATATGGCAAGCAGGTATGAGCACGGATCATCTGGTTCCCGTTTGTCCAACTGCAGTTGAAGAGATAGTTATTTAGATAAAGAACTTTGGGCACGTAATGGATAATTATATTCCTTAAACAGCAGATGTGGTGTACTAACCCCTTCCAATAGTGGATGTGAATCTGGAAGCTCATAGCTGCAATATTGGGTAACAGTCAGTATGTGCTATTATTCAATGGACTATCATGTTAGGGTAGCTAGTTTTGTTTGACATCAAGTATTTATGGCATATACCCATATGTTTTCCCTCCGCTTCATGAGTTCAGTTCTAAAAAAGTGAGAGGAGGCTTTCATTTGGGCCAATGAAATCATAATCCGTGCAGCGTCCCTCTTAGAATGATTAACCAGATATAGAAGATGTGAGAAATGTCCACTTACACTTGGTGCTCTGTTCTTAGCCGGCTGACATTTTTAAGTTTAGGCATAGGAATTGAAGCAGCTTCTGGAGTTAAAGCTACCAAGGCTTTTGACATAACTCCCTCTTGCAGTTCCATTTTATTTCGCATGTAAGTCTGCAAATTTTGAGTGAACTCCTCAAAGTTAAGTTTGATGGTAGGAATTTCATTAGGATCTTCACAGAAGTTATCCTCAATGTCACTTCCCAGTATTTGTGTCTGTTCTTGCTCTGGCGTTGCAGGTACTTCAACAATAGGCTCTGGCGAGGCTGGTACTTCAACAATGGGATTGCAGTTGCTGGCTTCAGACTGCGCTTCTGATTGTTGATTAGCCTGAGGCAGAAGGAGCTGTATTGGATTGATAATCCCCATGGGATTTCCATCAGCTGCTCTGCTATCAGTTGCAGTCAGTATGCTTTTCTCCTCCGGTGCTGGCAGGGACAGCCGTGCACTGAATCCAGCATGTTCATCAGTGATCCAATATATCATAATATGGTTAACATGTCTATGGAGAGAGTGGGACTATTTTGTAGATCTCTGGACTTGGCATTTTTGCTGTCTTCAACCAACATGGGTTTATATAGCTAGGAAACCTTTTAGTGACCCTATATTTGCAAGTTATTAAGTAAATATGCTAGTTTAGGGTCAATATGATCTGGTGTTGGTAAAAATATTTGATATAAGTTGTTGTTTCTGGCATATTGTGTGTTCTGCAATATCTCTACATGTCTGCATTTAAATTGGATGGCATAATTGTTCATATGTGGTTGTTCCTAATCTCCTGTACATTTTAAGTTGATCATCTATGTGGAAGGCCAGTTGTGAAATATAGTTTTGATCATTCTAAAATTAAAAGTTCTAATTGGTTTGCCAGGTGGTTTAGTTGCAAGAAAACTTGGACAAATTAAGGGAAAACCTTGCAAATGCACTGGCAAAGTGCCTGCATTCTCCTCTCATTGGACATGCATTGCAATTTGGTTTGCTCTTTGTGCAGAAAACCTGGAAAATTATAACTTTTAGCTTTTGTTTGTAAGTAATAATTAGTTAAGAGAAATCACCTAGTATTCTTAGCACATACGGCATACCTTTCCAAAAGTAATCATCTGGTAATGCAGCTCGTATCTGTAATTGAATAGCATCATAAATCAGTAGAGTTTTTATTTTCCAATATATGCATTTATCTCTTGATGCAAAGGGGAATTTTGGTTTACAATGTTCTTTGGTCGAGCTTGCAGAGTCGTGGCCAAAGATACTTTTGAATTGACTCCAATACAGGGTACCTGTGTAAAGACTACTTCATTATGGTTTCTATCTTCATAGTACCAAGTTTGGATGAGTAAATCCACCAAGACTTAATCCTTACAGTTCTAGGAGATGCAGTTGGAGAGACTCAGGCAGTGGCTGAAGAGGTACCCATCCTAGTCTTACAGCTATGCGCCCAACATTCGTGTCAACCTTATTGGAGATAAGAAAATATAAATGATCCAGTCTAAGAGTTATTCTTCAGTAGTATGTGAGGCTCAGAACTTACTGGGAAGGCAAGATGGTGAAGAGTCAAAAGCCGCACACACTCTACACTCTTCAAACCCAAGCCTCTTATGCTCAATAGATACTCTCTGAAACCATAAAATACCAGTAATTCTTTCAAATCATTCCACTATGAAAAACCAAAAGTAGATTGCTTAGCCCCTGTAACATTGTTTATTGGATCCAGTTTGTAAATATAGTTTTGGAACATTTAATAAGTTATGCCGAAGATAGAGAAATCATTTCAAGATTGTTGTGGGCTTACTTTGCTTTGTCAGGTGGAACATCCCTTAGCCATTCCAGATCAATGCTTCCATGTTCTCTGACGAGCCGGTCAAGGAAATCCTGCATTAGTTTCTTGTTTTATCATTAAGCTGATCTCAAGAATGTTCCTGTCGGTATTATATTGTGTATTATATGTAAAGTTCAGGTTGTCAAATGTGAACTTCTTTGTTGTAACATATAATGTGTACCTTGATTCTCTCTGCAAGCACATTGTTCATTCCCCTTTCTTTGATGGTCTGGGCAATCTCGCTAACATCTGCACACCTTATTGCTTCCCAGTCCAATGAGTCCAATGTATTGGCTGTTCGTTCTCTTTTCTTATCATTGGCTTGCACTTGTCTTCTTAAGCTATCCCAGTCAACTGCAGTTTGTGTATGTTTTGTAGGTCTTCCCCTTTTTGCATTAGAAGAATCAGTATTCATGCAATCAACTGTCCTACCAAGACGACAACTATTTGACTCGGCTGCTTTGTGCACCATTTTTCTTGAACCATCATCAATGATGCTGGTGCTTTCACTGACATCCAAGGTCTCTCCTGAGAAGTTTGGAGCATCTAGAACTTGTTGCATTTTACGGTTATTCTCTTGATGCTGTGATCCAACATTGTCGTTTGGACCTTCAACTGTCTTTTGAGACTGGAAGAATTTATTCACCTCAATCTGAAGGTTGCTGCTTGGGCGATCAATTTCACTGAAGGATTTAGGTGCTTTTTGAGAACACACAGTCCTGATCCTCTGAACTGTAGCTTGAATGGAAAATTCTTCTGAGAATCCACTTTGTTGGCTGGTACAATTTTCTTCTCTTTTCTTCATTATACCAGAAAATCTGGTTTCATCTCCCAGCATGGAGAAGCATTCAACCCTCTGTGCTCCTGGATCGGGGATATGGTGCAAACTATTAGCACTTGAAGGTATGGTCAGCCTTGAGGTGGTTTTGCCACTGTCTGATCTGTCATTGTTCTGCCCTTGTGGGTCACTTGCCATACCTTCTGATTGGTTGTTCCCATACTTGAACAGTATGTTTCCACTTGCCTGATTGTAAACTTCTTGTGGCAAGGTTCCTGCCATCTGTAATAGTTTTACAAAAGAAGTGGAGCTCCCAAAACTGCTGGGTATAGATCCAGCTGTTAGTTCTCCTTCTGAACTGCTCTGTAAACATGATCCTATTCTTTCATCAGTTTGAGCAATTGAAGAGTCCAGAGATTTTGGAGAGGAAGCAACATAATTCTGAGAAGAAAATAAATCATCCATTTCTCTTTGACCTCCAGTACAAATTGCCACTGTTCTTGAAATCTGAGTGCCTGATTTATATGCTGCAGAATTGGGGTTCATATCTGGACTATTTTTAGAAGAATCTAAAAATTGGATCTCTGAAGTATCAGCTGACGTAATGCCAATGGTGCTGCTTCTAGAGGATGCATTGCTGTCTTTTTCTCCATTATTTTTCACAGTCTGGAGCATCGTAGAACCCTGATCACTGACTGTCTGATTGGACTGCTGCTCGTACAATTGAATGGTATCATCAGGATCTATTACACATACTCCCGGTTCTTCTGTCAGTAGATCTGTTCTCTCTTCCTGAGGTGATCCATGGTTCCTCTTTGACAAAAGGGGAAATCGTGCAGCAAGAGACATGTAGGCAGAACTGCAGAAGTGAATAAATAGATTTAAGAGTTTCTCTGGTCAAATTTATCTGGTTGAATTTTGGATAATTTGACGTGGTAAAAATCAACTCACCTAGAAAGATGGTCTGAGACATTCTGAGTGAGGAAAACTCCGACTACAGAGTCTACAACTGATCCCTTCCACTGAGAGAAGCGTCTATCTCCTGTGGAAAATTAGATTATTTCGCTATTTTCTACCATTTTTTGGCAGTAATGATAATTGAACATCCTATTGTTCTTATATTTCAGATGCCATTACTCTATACAATTTTTGGCAAAAATGATAATGGAAGATACAAATTATTTTATATTCAGGTGCAGGAAACATGCAAGTTGAAAAAGATTTAAAAGTGGTCCACATTCTCTCCTTCTGGGAACATTTCAGTTCAAGATACGGTAAGATTTTGCAAGAAAGGATACATTTAGAAAAAGGAAATGAGATATTTATTTGTTTAAATGAGGGATTAATATGCAAGAGTGTGACCATTTAATTTCTTTTTCCCTTACAGTTTCAGATTCAGGTTGAAGTCTATGCTGCCTCGGGTTGCATTAAGGTTTCCTGCTAAATCCTTTACAGTTTTTGTTATCTTGGCAATAGGCTAGCTGCTTAGATTCTTGATTTGCTTAAATCAGGGGCTGAGGACAATCATGTTTTAAATGCTTTTGTTTTCCTTTGTCATAATTTTTCTATCTCTAAATATTTTCATTAGCATTTAGCACTAGAAAAAATGTCTGAAAAGAATGAAGCAGGCCATAACTTGTTTTGTGTTCTCTACATGAAGTTTTTGTACTTGTTTCTAGTTTCCTTCCTTCACGATCATACACGTGGAGCGCATTACACTACCTAGGAAGGGGGAGAGGGGGTTTGAATAGGTTTTTCAATTTTAGCACTATTAATTACCAATTAAAACTTAATCTACCACAATTCCAATCCAGGTACAGCGTAAGATGAGACAAGAAGATTGAGTAACATCGTCTGATTGCTTAAACACTGTAAGCTCTAATCAGAGTACTAATAATGACAACATAGCTATTAATCTTCTCTGCTTCCTGAAGAAAGATCTCATCTAGTGGTACTTAAACAATTAAGAACTCTACTAACTGGAACATTTGAAAACTATGCATAGTTACCTTGGACGAGATGCATGCGCGCGATAAATGAGTCTGCCCTTCCATGGAACACTCTTCGTTCTTCTTCCCACCATTTTTCCTTCTCCTCATTCGTTCCATCAATGCCCTTGCTGTTTATATCTTCCAACAAAAGCTTCCATACTCTATTTGTCTCATCATCGAGGTCAACTTTAGCCCTTGGTCGTCGTTTTTTGACTAGATCAAATGAGCCCTCAAAAGGCCCAACTGTTCCATCTCTTTGATAGAGAACAAGTGCATTTTGCCCCTGGTACCTCATACCATTAGGAAAAAGTGCATTTTCCTCTTGACAAGTTACTTGGTTGCTCTCTGCATTAATATTGAGATGCCTAAACAGCTCAGCAATTACATCCAGAGAATATAGGGCTTCCCAAATCATAACTCGAGGACCTGCATTAAATGTAATCAAGTTCGAAAGGGAATCAGTTTAAAAATGGGTGGTTTCCTGATAATTAACTAGCATAATTTTTTTCTGGAAATTTACCCATTGACATAGTCACAATTTGGCCATCAGTATACATATTAGGAGGCACTGAACTGGCACTTAAATTTCTCTTTGTCCGTTTCTTTGCTGTTGTTGCATGGTTTTCTGCAACTACGGCTTCCATGCATGGGTGGGGTTGGTTTAAATATCCAACTCCTGGGGTAGGAGAACTTGGCAACTGCTCATAAATTTCTTGCACCCGATTAGAGCCTTTAGATATCTTCTTTCTCAACCTCTTTGTGTGGCCCAAAGCTAGCATGAATTCGAAAGTGTGCTGTTTACCCTGACCACTACTTGCTGTCGCAGTCGGGGCACCACTTTCATCGAACTGAGGATCTGAAATTGTGCAATCAATATGAGATGTATAAGGATTTGCACAGCTATCATTTGGAGGGCATATTGGTGATTGTTGCACAAGATTTGCTGTAGCAGTCACAGTTGATGATCTGCTGGATGTGGCTGAATCTTGTGCTTTCTCAGTTCTCTTTTCCTTGTAAATTGATGGAAAGGACATTCTGGCATTGCTATATTCCCTTACTGGGAGCAGCGCTACGTATGGCTGCAAAGAATTGTACGCTTCATCAGTTGTACATGAATGCTCTCTTTTTAATCCCCTTGTTTGTTTTCCATTCATCAAACATGTGCTGCTGCTGCAGTAGGAATCATTTGGGCTTCTTGGTGCTGATTGAGCATTGAAACTTGTAACTATTTCTACAGTACTTGCCTCTTTATCATGGGTTTCATCAGAGAATACTATTCTACATTTTCCTCTTGAACATTCACTTTGAGTGTTAACCATAAATTCATTTGGTGGTAGATCAGCCTTGGCAGGAGTCGAAGGGATTGAAGCTTGTCTTCCAGGCATTGATAGGTAACTGTCAATTACTTCCTCCATGGAGCATGGGAGGTTATGAGCAATGTCCATTTGTGTCTTTTCTACGGTTACTTCCACCCGCTGTGTGAGTTGCTCAAGTGATCTTGATTGATCCCTGCTACAGAAGTTTTGTGCATGTGACTCTGAGTTAACATTGGAAGATGGCCTGCATGAGGAGCTTTCATCTTGCACTTGGCATTCAACATCATAATTCAAGGCCCTCCGGCAGGATTTTCTTTTGCAACCAACCGTCTTTGTGCTGGTAGTTCCACTGGTTACCTCTGCTGAGCCAGTGGCTGTGGAGTTTTTTCGAACGTACTTCCTTTTTGACTTTTTTGGAGTTTCTGCAGTGCCAGCAGGCTTTGTAGTCCTTCGTTTGTAAGTCCTTTTAGGCTGGCCTTCTTTAACCACTTTGGGCCTGTGTTTTATTTTTCTTGGTTTCTGTTGTGGTGTTTTGCACACGTCAGCCTCGTCCCCTCCCTTGTCAGGGTTGTGATTATCCTGCAACTGTGTGGAAACAGCGGCACATAACTGATCGTCAAGCAGCTGTGATTGTTCTTTCTCCTGGTGGAGCTCATCCACTTCAACCTTTTGCTGGAAACTTCATTTGCCAGCTTCTTGTGCATCTGACTTGTTCTTTTGTCTATAATTGAACTTGGTATATCAGATGCATGTCTTTCGACCCTCTTGGCCTGGTCTGGTGTTATGGGTGCAAACTGGGAGGAGATGTTTCTGCTCATAACTGCATCTGCCGCTGTCCTAGGTGGCGAATTAAGATGGCAGGATGGTTGGGAAGGAACAGAGCCCCCATCTGTAAGTACATTTCATTACAACCACATCCTCTTGTGGAAAAATGATTTTTGACAGAATTTCAAGCAAATTGGTTCTATTTCCCAATGATTGAAGAACAAAATTTTAGAGAAATTTGTGATGTGCGGGAAATTAGGTAATATGATTAGTGTGAGGGATGTGCTAAATTTTGGAGTATTGAGCAAGTGACTGTTTTTGTGACCTTTTCTACGGTTTTGCTATTCAAGTGTTTGCTCTATTCATGCACTAATTGAATGTAAAATTGCAGTTGCAAGCAAGTAGGTTCTACATCTTAAAGGTGAACGTGGACAGCACATTGGACATGAAGCTGATTTGTGCATGCCTGCAATTATAATATGCAGAATCTACACCTACAGATCAGCATCTAAGTTTATCATCATGGTAAGTGCCCTTTTGTCATAAATTATTTTTGTTTGAGTCACATTTCAAACAAGGTATAAGGCAAAAGACAAGATAGCTAAATGACACTCACGGTACTTTATGTTTGCGCCATCACTGTAAAGAGGAAAGTTTGATCCACCTGAAAGACTTTCATTTCCGAGAATTGGATTTGCTGTGCCTGCCTTGAACTGGTTATCTTCAATCTGAGAATTGAAATTAGAAATCAGTGAACTACTTGTTGTATTAACCTTGATCCCTGCAGTTGCTTTGCCATCTGCGAGGGCCAATAGATCTCCAAAACGCAAATCATTATATTGGTCCACAGAGTTCATGAAAAACTTATTGCATATGTTCACATTATCTCCATAAATTCGGGTTTTTGCGTCCAAAGCTGCCTCCCTGTAGTCTAAACCCCCGTTAAATTCTATGAAATTTGTCGAATCACAACATGCAGCTACTTCACGAGTTTCAGTTTCTGGCGAAAACCCATTTGAAAATCTCTCTAATCGTCTCCAACCTGCTTGTCCTTGCTGATTCTCTAGTGAAAATCTCTGTTTTTCCAACCAATTTGGCTGATTTTCATGCCTGTCTGTGCAGATCGGCTGCGGTTCTTCTGTACTGGGCTTCTTCACTGGAGTTGCTGGAATCCAAGACCCCTCAATCTGGAAATGTCTTATTTGTGGAATTGAACTCTCTCTACCAACATCCATTCTGCCCCAACTATAGCTGGTAAAAATCCTTTCCTCTTTTTTTTTTGTCCTTTCTCTACTCTTTCTAGGCAAAAACCCAATTCAAGTTCTTCAGTAGTTCCCAATATTCTTAACAAAGGGAAAATTTAGGCAAATGTTGCTGATTTTTCAACTCTTTTTCTTCAACAGTACTGGTGGACAGAAAACAAGAAAAGAGAAAAAAAAGTTTATTAGTGAGGAGCTGAAAACAATTACAGGGACAGAACAAAGAACAAAATTGGAGCTAAAAAAAGAAAAGATCAACTAGATTTTTTTGGGGTTTTCAAATCTTTGAAAATCATGCTAAAAAGCTCTTCTAACTTACAGATCTCTACAACATTCATCATACGTTGTTGCTCCGGTGAGAAAAAAGAAAAAGATAGTTAAGTGCTGATTTAAACACAAGAATCAAACAATTGTTATAGCTAAAAAATTCTACTAATTTAAACAATAATGAAAATTAAGTCTCGTTAATATAAAGATTCCAGCACCCAAACAGAAAAAAAAAAAAAAAAGTCTTGAGAGAATCTGTTTTATCTCCTACAAAAATGCCACTTTATTCTCTTCTGTTTGTGTGTGAGGTTATAAGGTTAGAAAATGGAAAGAAGCTGAGATAAGCTTGGTGAAAGAGTTACCGGAAAGTTGAGTCATTGCCGGCGATCTGATTCACTGAACGACAAGATAGTAGCAGAGTTGTTTTCCCATAGAGAGAGAAAGTAGTAAAAGAAACCAAACAGAACGACCATGTTTTTATTCGTAGAGTGAATGAGTGCTTTAAACTAATAGCTCCTTTTCCCAGTTAACCACGCAAGGAATTTTTATTATGATTTAATGTCTGAATTATACATGAATAATGTTGTCTTAATTCAAAAATATAATTTTTTTTTAAAAACACTCTTCTAATCCTTTCCGACTTGTACAATGTATAATCTTTTCATGTTATGGTTATTGTGTCGTATAATTTTTGAAATAAATTTCTTGACACAATCTCAAACAAGTTGACAAAGTTTGATCACGTGACTTGTTTAAATTTAACACGTCTTATTTTTTTAATCACTTATGATTCTCTCTCTAACAAATTTAATCGTCTTCTTGTTCTCATATCTCTCTATGCATGTGACTAGTGATGTGTAAAATTCTCTAATATGAGTAAATATTAACTATATCATATCAATAATATAATTTGATATAAATACGTAAAGTGGACCCGATACAGTTAATCTAGTATAATGGTTAAAGTAGTATAACAGTTATGCATAATTTTTTTTTTCCCGGTAAACTTAGTTGTGCAGTGTGAAGACAGAATCGGGGCATTACTGTACTTTTGGAGTCAAACGACAAACCCGGCGTGTGAAGCGTCTAAAAGGCCAAACACGTGACTGACATAGAACCAAGAAGGGTACAGTTTTCTCAAATTTGTCACGTGAGTGGGTGTGTGAATAGTCTAATGTAGGTCTTTGGAATATTGACGCCGTGCATTAATCTTATGTAATAAAACCCAAATATTTGTCTTAATCATAAAACACAGTAATGGTCCAATTTAAATTTGACAATTTATATTATGATTTGTTTTAATTTTTTAATGCCAACTATGCCTGTCTCTTTTGTTGGCATTATTCAAATGACTTCCAAATCTTACTCTGCCGTCAGTAACGCCGTTAGTGGGACCTTTTTTAGTGTTACGATAATGCACGCTTTTCTAATTAGCGGTTGGAGTTGGTAATTGATTTCCTACGTACGGTGCCTTGATTTATGAATCTAATAATGAGACGGTGGGGCATGGTCATGTACACCCTTCATTTTCCAAAGCATAGAAAGCAGCCAGGCATAAGTTCATTTCGTCCATTTTAAAATTGCCTTTTTTATTTACTGAGACAACCAGTAGTGCAAAATAAATTGGAAAAATAAAATTAGACATTTTTATTCGATTTTAATGTTATACGTGATTTTTTATTCTTAATCTATATTTATATTCTGAATTTTTTAAAAATATTAATCTATAAAATTTCTTAACTTAAATTATTGACCTTAGTTTGTGACACGTGGTATAAAAAAGGTGGAATTTGGTGGACTTATTTTTTATTGGAAGTTTTAAATTTGGGGGGACCCATGTCATAGGTTGTTCCATAGCATGCGACCCTACGGGTGGTTTTTGAATTTATTGGTTTGAATGATACGAGGGGATAGAATATAATATTTTATTTATATAAAGAAAGTTCTATTGTGTCCACAAGAACATGGTTGGAGCAATATGGACCCACATGATCGTCACCGAAACAGACGATCATTGGTACATGTTCACACCTTTATGAGAGTGGATGAATCCGGTCTGGTAATAATAAATTAGCCGAATAAATTAAATATAAACAATACAAAAATTATTCACAAAAATGAACAGTACAAATACTATTTACAACATAAGCAACAATTAACCAATTGGACATAATCTTTCTAGTCATCCTGAGACTCCTAATTAGGAGTTGTTAAAGGTACAAATTGCTTCTTTTTTAATGGATTCCGTTGTTATTAATTTTATTTTTCTGTTTTTTATTATGTTTTGCTGCTTTCTTTTGAATATGTATTTTGTTTTAATTTTATAGTAGTGATGGTATAATTTATTGTGTTAGGGTATCTCTCTTAAAGTACATATATAATTTTTTTTACTGTGATTAAAATAATTGTTATATATTGAAGGGATGAAAAATAGGGGATGAGAGGATTTGAGTATTAGGTAGTAAAATCAGTATAAATGTAGGTGTTAATGATCATAATATAAGCAAAACAGGACAAGGTGTGAGTGGTTGTCAAGTTAAATAGTTAGGTTAGTTTATTGTCAAAGGAGTCTCTTGCACTTGTGTTTATTGTATTACTTAGAGAATTAAAAAAAAAATTACAAAGGAATTGCTTATTTCTTTGTAGGAAATTCTCTTCTATTTAGACCAAAATAGCATGAGTTTGTTGACCTTTCTCTTGGATATGGACTCCGAGTTGATTTTAGTTGAAGAGATAAATAAAATATTATATTTAATAAAAAAAAATTAAAAGGATGAAAAATTGATGTATAAGATTTTTTTTTAATTTATTAAAATAATTTATCCAAAATTAGAAGGAAAGTTGATGAAAAATTAATTATTTATATTGATATATATCTTATTTGTTTGTATATTTTGTTTAAGTCACTTTAGAATACAAAAAAAGAAAAATGTAGAATTTTTATTTTTTATTTTTAAAGGATAAAAAATGTATCTTTTTTTTTTATCAAACAGAGCATTAATATGAATCATTTAATCTTTGACACAGTGATACGTGGTATCTAAAAAGTGTACTTTGTTCGACTTTCTTTTTTAAGTAAGTTTTTGAATCTAGAGTGACTTTTGTCATTAGCTTTTTTATGACATGGGACCCAATGGAAGGCTTTTGTTAGTTAAATTGGTTTGAGTAGTATGAAATTGAATATAAAATTATAGTGCGAGAAAAAGTTTTAATTTATCCAAAAATTAATGGTTGCACGTGATCATAACTGCAACAATCATGTCTCATGGTCAAACTTTTATCTGAGTTGGATAAATTTATTTACACTCTACTAAAAATCTATTAAATTAATAAATTAGAATAATATATAAATATAAATAATAACAAATAAAAATACATTAAATTAATAAATTAGACTAATATATAAAATATAAATAGGACAATTACCATACATATTTCTTAACTACTTCACATGTATTTTTTTTTAAAGCACTAATTTAGTATGTTTATATTTGTTTTTTCATTAACATTGTGATGAAGTAGAGTTAAGGGTGCAATTCAGGAAGGTTGGGTGAGTTAAGAGGTCAATTTTAACTCAATCATAGGTATATAATTTTTAATTCTAATCCTAACCTTAACTCAACCCAACGGGCTCGGGTTGAATTTGGATTACTTAATTTAGACTATTTTTGGGTTAAAAATTGGGTTGAGTTCGAATTATTTAATTCGGATTGATAAAAGAGAGAGAAGTGACGAGTGAGAGAGGAAGGCTGAGAATCTGAGACGACTCATACAAGTGACGAGTGAGAACAAGGAGGTTGAGAGTCCTAAGATGAGATTCAGGCGAGGGTTAGAGACTAGATGAGAGACGAGTAACGAGTAAGAGAGATCTGAGTGATGGAGATGTAGGGATAAAAATTTGAAGTAAAGTGAAAGTATGAATTCTGAAAAGTGAAGATAAATACTAACTCTAATTAAATATATTTATATATTTATGTATATTCGGATTCAACTTGATTTTAATATTCAAGTTGAATCCTACAACCCGAGATTGGCCCGAATTTAATTCGGGTTGAATTTTGTTTTGTTTAGGTTCGATCCAAATATTAAAAATTCTATTATAAGTCTTGTTTTTTTGAATTGGACTTAGATTGAATTCGATTTAGCACATTCAAATTGCACTCCTAAATAGAGAGAAGGATTATAGTAGTGTATGACCGAAGGATAATGGTGAAAATATATTATAAATTATGTATATTACATTAGATCGGAATTAATAATTATTGTGGTTAACATTAATATTATAATTAAAAAATCAAAATTAAAATAATAAATTAATTTATCGAATCTAAAGAATTTGTGTAGCCAGTTATTCAAAAAAATGTTGTGTTAAATTAATGTGAATTATTTGAACTCAGCTTGTAACAGTGATATAGAAAAGGTGTACTTTGCATGACTTATTTTTTGTAGTGACACATGGGACCCCAATGGGTGACTTTTGTTGGTACGATTGGCGGCCGAAAGTTATGTTTCTGTTTTATTGGTTCGAGTAGTACGAAGTTGAATAAGAAAATTAAATTAGATAAAATTTCAACCTGCGCATGCTCAAAAATTCAGGGTAGTTTTGATGGCCCACATGATCACAATTGAAACAATCATTTTGTCATGGTCAAACTTTTATCTGAGTAAATAAATCAAAAGGGGAAAGCTATGGTATCGTCCTCTTTTTT